CAGATAAACTAAAAATCGGTTAACACTTCAATATCTGACTAAGAATCGAATGTCATAGAAAAAACGCAGATTGAAAATTAATCAAAAATACAACAAAATACATGTATAAATTATTTTGTTAATAAGCTACGGACATTTTCTTTTCAGTAGATTATGGCTAGAACCTTCCAAATTAGTAATGAAACATTAAATTCAGCCTTTAACATTTTACTTAAAAATCACAAGTATAGAGGTCTGTACAGTAGTAAAATGTTGTTTGAAATTTTACAGATATTAGAAAAAAGAAAATGTATTTTCTGAATATGCGCATGATACATAATAAAAAAATTAAAACTATGGTTTATCACAACAATACAAGGTGTTTGATAAATGTAATGAAATACTACGATATGTTAACACAAAATGGTTCCTAAACAACGGAAAAATAATTTATTGTGCTTGCTTGATTACGGTACCTTCCGTTGTTGTTTTAAAGCAATTTTCTTTTGAGTTATACTCTTTTGAAAAAAAAAAAAAAAATCGAAGCACCAAGAAAGATTTTTGCGATAGTGACGAAATTTGGTATGCAGAAACATCTTGATCGAGCATGCAAATGGTCAAAGTTTCAAGGCAAATGAAAAGGAATTGCGATCATAGCATGCATTTCTAGTGCGCAGTTCGCAAAGTATAAAACCAGTAACAGAGGCGGAAAATTTATCTTTTTTTTTTGTTGCTGCCATTGTAATTCCGTAAAGAAGCAACTAAAGATGCCATTACGACGATATCGAAGACCTTACAAACAACTAAACGACTTCGAACGTGGTCGCAAGGAATTTGCCGACGAAATGAAGGCTCTGGAAGGCCAAGAAGCACAAATGTGAGGCAAGATAGGATGATTGTTCGCCAGGTCCAAACCGCCCCAACGGTATCATTGTCGACTATTCAACGCACTGCAGCCACGTCTATACCTCCCGTAGTACCGTCCACCATCTCACGGCGCTTGTCTGAGTCGGGTTACGCTCACAGAAGCTTTTAAGAGCTTTGTCTTTAACCCCCAACACATCAGCGGAGTCGTTTGGAGTGGTGTCGCAGCCATCAGACTGGCATCGTATGGTATTCATTGATGAATCCCGCTTCACTCTTGAAGCAGATGATCACCGTGTTCGTGTCTGGAGAGGACAGGGCCAGCGGTCCCAATCAGCCTTTGTTTTACAAAGGCATACAGTTATAACCCCTGGTGTGATGGTGTGGGGCGCTATTTCTTATGACAGCAGGTCATCTTTAGTCATCCTCCGTATATCTTTAACAGCTCAACGATATGTTCATACCATCCTGCGGCCGGTTGCATTATCCTTCGTGGCACGTCATCCTGGGGCCATTTTCGAACAAGATAATGCCAGGCCACATACCGCTCGCATATCTCTGGACTATCTCCGTGCGATTGATACTCTTCCTTGGCCAGCAAGTCACCACACCTTTCACCAATCGAGAATGTCTGGGACATGGTAGGCAGCCAGATTCGGGCACCACAAAATATCGCAGATCTGGAGCGACAACTGATGAATACCTGGCAGAATGTGTCGTAGGATGACATTAGGAACCTCTACCACTCCTTGCCTCGACAAATTCTAGCATGCGTTGCCGCCAGGGGCGGTTCGACCAACAACTAATTTGTACACTCAATGAGTGATTGTAAGCCGTGAACAGGTAGTATGACCTTGATTTTTTAATCATTTTATTATCTGTGTATGAACTACATATAGATTCATTTTTCCCCAAAACAACCCCTTCCTTCATGGTGCTTCGATTTTTTTTTTTTTTTTTTTTTTTTTTTTTTCAAAAGAGTGTATTTTTAAACCTGAATCTTCAGAAAGCGCAATCACCGGGATTTATCAACGTGCGGCTAAGTTTCGAATACAGTCGTCAAAACGAGATATTTTAGAATAAACAATTTGTTTACACAAGAATAAGATTAAAATTACTTCAATATTTTTCAAGCCACATTCATCTACACTGTTCATGCCGTTTCGTGAAAGAACTTAAGGTAAGTTTATAAGGTATTTCTCCCGCTTTCCTAGCGTGCCTTCGTGGTGTAGTGGAGTGTGCCTTCGTGGTGTAGTGGTGTGTGCCTTCGTGGTGTAGTGGTGTAATGGTGTACCGGTATTCCAGAGGTTCCGTGGTTCGATTCCCGGCGAAGGCGATTGCTCATTTTTCATATCTCCGGCTTTTCCAATTAACCTAATATCTCTACAGTGGCGCTCGAACTAAAAGGGTGTTAGATGAGGATTCTCCACACCCAGCATTTGGCAATTGGGTCCCCTAAAAACCCCAGTCGCCCTTTAAAAAGGGGAGTATATAAGGTATTTCTCCCGCTTTCCTAGCGTGCCTTCGTGGTGTAGTGGTTCTGCACACTGGGCCGGTATTCCAGAGGTACGTGGTTCGATTCTCAGCCAAGGCGATTGCTCATTTTTCATCTCTCCGGCTTTTCCAAAAATACCTAATGTCTGTATAAGGTTCAGTCTTTTCTCATTCGGAACATCTGCAGGAAAACTATTAATTTCTTATTCGTGTTTTGCATACTTAGATACTTATATTTTGTTGTAAATCTTATATTTTCTTCTTGCGTTTTGCATTTCTTATAATTTGTATTACAAACTAGTGTGGACATGGTGCCTAGATATGTAGCATTTATTTAAAATTTTTACTTGGAACTGAATAAAGGGAAATGAACGAAGCAGCCCATGTGGAGAACGAAGCAGCCCAAGCAATTTTGCATAAGAAAGTCTTCCACGAGGGCATCTCTTCTTAGCCCTTCACATACTTTGTCATATTTATCAATTAAGTTCATTGTATTCCTATCTTTTCTCAAAATTTATGAAGTACCCCTCTTTGAATGCCGATATTCGAATTTTGTTTTAGCTGACTTGTTCTTTGAACAGTACGTGGAAATGAATGAGACTAGCATCGAATAGTTCAAGTATACATATTGCATTTCTTCAGCATGCTTTGTTCTTAAGTTAGTTATCTAGTTAAAAGGGAAAATGTGTTTCATTTTTTTTGAAACACATTTTGCTTACTTTCTATGAGGAATTAAACCCGATAAATGTTCAAAGAATTGTTTGACTCAAGTGTTAAATTAAAATAATGCGTCCTTGAAAGCATGACCTTTTTAGATCAAGTCATAACGAAACATTTAATTTTTTTTAAAAATTACCTACTATGTTGGATTATTAAATGGAACACATATCAATATTACCCGTTATGTAAGATATTTATGCATAATTTTATTTTCTAAGTATAATATATATGATAAATTAAAAGAGAAATTTTCCCAAAGTGCTGAACGTTTTAAGTGTCAGATAAATGAGCGTCAGTTGGGAATTCATAACTTAATTTAAAATGAAAGCGAAAAGAATAAATGAAAAGCGAAATGGAAAATAAAAATGAACAAAACTTTTATAAAAGTATAAAAATAAAGAATAAAAGAAAAATTAAACTTGATAGAAAGAATTACTTTTTAAAAATAAAAAGCGAAAAGTAAAAAAAGTTAAAAATGAAATTTTATACAATAAAAATTGAAAAGAAATGTAAAAAATAAAATTTACATTTGCAAAAAATAGGAAGTTGTGTGATGAATTTAATTTATTAAAAAGAGAGAGGAGAAAAAAAAGCGAAAAAAATTATTGTAAAATAAAAAGAGAAATTAAAAACCTTACTAATAAAAAGCAAAGTATAAATTATATTAATGACTTAGACCGTAAGAAATCTATGTGCCCATAACACTTCAAGAAACAAACACGTTGATTGGCTGAAATTTGAAGTAGATTGTTTACGAGAGGCTGAATGGTCCATAAGAATGCATCCTTTGGGAGATTTCATTACAATTTTGTTTGGTTGTTTTTCTAACTGAATGCGGTAAGCTAATTAATTTTATCTGAAAAGTCCCGCTGGCGTAATGGTTTGCGCGTTCTTCTCCCTTGCGAGGAGTTGCGGGTTTGATCCCATCTTTTCAAAATTTATTGAAAAATATTGGCATTAAAATAAATAATGAAATTAATTAAAAATGAATGGTTTTTCAATAATGAAAGGTTCAATTAAAAATAATTACACATTAAATATTTAGTAATTACGTATGTGTATTTCGGAATTTAGTATTTACGTGTGTACAGCTGAGAAAAATGTAATGTAATGTTTTTTAGTTTTGTGTTCTATTTTCCTTTTACATCTCCTGCGGAAGGGACAGGTTGCGTAGGGTTTTTATGGTTTTTCTCATGAGTAACTATTTAATTTCCTTTACAAAGTTCCGCATTAAAGCATACTCCACTTTATGTCGATCGATCTCGCATGCTTTGTAGTAATTAATAAATCCAAAACTATTTTGTCTTTTCCTGTCTTAATATCTAATCACCAACCATTCTTCCCAGTAATCAGGAAAAGGTAAAATATTCTTCAATTATCTTTCAGAAATATTTACTATTGTTAAAGTAGTTATTAAATTATTTTATTTCTTCTCCTGTTCTTCCTTCACACGGGCCCACCAGCGGCCGGCATCCCTTCCCTTAGGCAGATAGCCCTCGAGGCTTTACCGTAATTGAATAACCTAACCTAACCTTCACACGGCTGTTTTAAAGTCCTAACAGGTTTAATCCAACCTCCGTTGGTAATCAAGCGGACCTTGCTACATCACAAAAATTGGTTAGGTTTCCGCTTAAAAGTTCTAACTTTTCATCGTTATGCCAGGTTGGTATAAGAACCACCAATCACAGAGAAGCAAACATCGTTCGACTATTTCGCTGAGTCAGCTGCATATTTACGCATGCGCAACTTTCCCTTCCCTGGCTGGCTATGGCTTAAACCCTGTTAAGCAGATGTGAATGGACTTTTAGACCTTAAAACACAAAGCTGTATGACGATAAAACCGTAGTTTGAATGAAGCGTTATTTACCATATCATTAAGGAATAATCTATACAAAAATAATAAGGAAAATGTGTGTTGAAATCCTAATCACAGATGTACTTACGTTTGCATTCAGGAGCTTTATCCTGCCAAATTCCATAGGAATTACACAATATACGTTGTGGTCCTTCTAAGTAATATCCTGATTTGCAACTGAAAGTATATTCTGTAAAGTGTACTCCTACTGTCTTATGAGCATTAACGTTGAATGGAATATCTGGACGCAGGCAAGGAGATGCTGAAATAAAATTAAAATTTTTTAACTTTTAAAGATACTTGAATTCTTATATTTTTATTTGAAGTGTTGAATACAAATTGAATTACTATATTCAATACTAAATAAATGGTTTTTAAACAATAGCTTGCCTTCTCATGGCTTAAGTGTTACTGGTGCAATTGATATTAATATTGCTTTATTTCAATCTAACTTTAGACAAATTTATTTCACGATTTGTTTTTTTTTTTTTTTTTTGCACGAATGATCATCAAACTCGTTTAACAATGACACTGATGTTTTTGTTAATAACGTGAGAAACTTTACAAGCTGGTAACGAAATTTTGTATCAAAGACATACACTTTTCTTTTGTCCTGAATATCTTAACGAGGACTACACAGAATGGCGATATTATTTTTATCCTATTGTTTGAAGATTCCGTTTATCATTACATAGATAAATATTTCCAAAAATTTTATGAGCATTTTTTAGATTTCAGTCTATGTAATTGTTCTAATTTACTGTTAATTATTTCAATTTATTGTATATTTAAGTTCCATATGTACACGGAGAGTATATGGCAGAGGTACCAATATATAAAGCAAACATAATGGGTTTTAATAAAAAGTCGTAGACGCAAAATCAGAGGAATTTTTCAAATTCTTATTTTTACATGCTGCGCATTCAACAAATTTAATTACTAATGACGCAACTAAAATTTCATTTGAAAAATTACTAGAGATGCCTTTTGTGTGGAAGCAAATTGTTGTGTCGTGTAGCGAAAGGAGGAAAAAAAAGAAGAGTGCGAGGCGGCCGCTATTTTGAAAATGCAGGAAACTTTCATAAGGGTGTCCCAATTTAAAGATGCATAATCATAAAGCTTAGTGTCTAACACGTAAAAGCAAACATCACAAATGTGAAGGCACTTTAATGCAGGGGCACCCTGTGTAAATAAAAGTCCTGCTTTGCTAATCAGAGCAGTAAGCTAAAACCCTACTTTGTAATATCCAGTTTGTTATTTGTTACAGTTTACACTAGTTGTCCCCCCCCCAGTTAATTATTACTCACATTAGGGAACTAAATCTGTAAAAGTTTCTTCTTTGCTAATCAGAGTAGCAAACTGAAATCCTAATTGCACAGTGGTAACTTGAAATAAAATTGCCCGCGCAAGTTAAGTATTAATTTTCATAACGGTTCGGGCGCCTTTAGGTCAGTGCACTCTTAGTAAGTTTTCTATCGTCTCGGGCAGTAGGTGAATTGCTTAAAAATGTCAGATATTTTTGGCGAAGCACTGTTATGTAATGGTCATTTGTCACCAGTCATTTTATAAGGTATTTTCTCACTTCTTTCTGCATGTTTTCGTGGTTTAACAGTAAGTAGCACACTCGGCGTTATTCGAGAGGTCCAGCATCGAGACCCAGCGAGGGCATTGCTCATTTTTCAGGTCTGCTGCTTTTACATAACTATTGACTCTACAATGTTTCCCCGGTGTCTGCTACACCATACGGTTTACTTAATGCATAGCAGTCTAGAATTAATGCTGACAACTAAACTTCAAAAATTTATTCGTTTAAATTTGTTTATTCTACTAATATTTAGTACGATAGTTTAAAATGTGGTTAAAAACTATGAGTAAAATAATGTATAATTCAACACTTAATGTAAAAATAATTGCAAAAATTAAACTTAATAAAACTTTTGAAGTTTTATTCTTCTTAATTAATTAATAAAACTTAAAGTTTAATCTTGTTACGGATTCTATAGACGAAACAGATAATGTTCTCAGCATCTATTTTTCCAGAAATTCAAAATAGAACTGAAACTTTTTGAATAAGAAGCCTCAGTTAGGTTATAAAAGATGTCTAAGAAAATTTTTTCACTATTTTAAGCAATATGTTGTCATTATTTACAGAAAGATTAATACAGCTCAGTTAATGCAGTAAGAATTTTATCCCCGATAACAAATAAGAGGCAATAAAGATTGATTTTAACACTGCAAAGATATACGTATGAAATTCTGGTAATCAAAGTATTATGAGTGTACAAATTATATTATTCAAAGTATTATGTTTAATGATAAAAGCCCTAAACATTTTATAAATAGACATTCATTTTCAAGGTGTTTTAAAAGAAATGATATGCTTCCAGGTGCTGTCATACATATAAGGTTACCTATATCTGTATTTTTCATGCCAGTGTTTCCCAAATTGAACATAGGGGTTCCGAAAACTGTCATTAAGTGTTCCGCGGGGAAACTGAGGTTAGAAAACAATGACTGCTTTTATATACTTGGATAGTACAGAAAAGATTGACACAACGGCTCTCACAACGAAACTATTACACTATGCGACAGAAAAATCGTGAAATAGACAGAAGGGGGCGTGAGCTACTCAGAATGCATAGATCGCGCTGGTCGCAAGCGAACGGTATAAGTCAGCGGATCAAGGAAGTTCAATTAACGGAGTTCTTAGGCCATAAACGCCTTTACCTCCACATCATCTAAAGAATAAAATATAAATCACCGCTCGTCCCTTTGGCCGTCGTCAAATCAGAATTCGTCGTATCGCAAGTGCCTGATTGGACTCTAGACCTCACGTAACTAGCACTCTAAGTGGTACGGACTCTTCCTCTCAGCTCATTCTGAGCTACGACTTCATCAGAGAACTGCGGACTGATTTTTCCTTCTGACAGTTTAATAGTATTGCTATGCCATATTTAGTTTAACTTCCTGATCCTTGTTTTGCTTACCTTCAAGTTATGCCTTTCACTTACTCATGCCTGAATTATTTTATGCCATGCATTTTCAAGACAATTCCTTTATGCCATGCCGAGACAGGCAGACTGTTATAAGTTTATGCTTCTCATATGCTTATTATGTTTTAGTTTCACTGCCCTGCTTATCCTGACTATATAAAAATTTCTGCCATTATCTCTCCTTATCCTCTCCTTATCTGATGAATGATTTTACTCGTTATGCTTATCTAGAAGACTGAAATCACTAATTATGCCTTTACGCCTTCACTGCACTCAGCTATCTAGGATTATGCGCTTTTGTGTCTAAGGTAAAGTATGCTTTGCATTTTTTAATAATCACCCCCCGAGTGTTGATGCTACTGAGCATCATCTCTTCTCTACTAACGCAATCGGCCATGAGCACCATTCTGATCTACAAGTCAAGACTCCAAGTAGTCGATGCTTGTCGCGATCTAAGTTCAAAGTTCAAAGTTTCGCCGCCGTCATTGAAAGCGTGGACAGCAATGATGGAAGGCGACTATCGCGGTCAGCGTTAGACAGCGTGTTTTCTATGGAAGGAAGGGATACAGGGTAGTGACATTCATCGCCGCATGAAAACGGTGTGCGGGAACAAAGCACCCTCAAGGTGTATTGTATCCCGTTGGTTGGCCAAGTTCAGCAGTGGAGTGAAGACTCCAGCCAAAGGAGTCAACGTGGGACGACAAGGAACATCGCATATAGCAGCAAATGTGGCAGCCGTGTCGGATTTGATCATGGCGAACAGGCACATAATGTTCGAAAGATGCAGGAGGAGAGAGGTCTTGCTCAAGCAACATTGCAGGCGATTGTGCATGATGATTTAGAGTACGCGATGCCGATTCGGATGACATCTTCGCCCGCCTGGTCACAGGGAACGAATCTTGGTTTTTGTACTACACTCCCGTAAAAAACATGGAGTGGAAGCATGCATCAAGCCCCACGTCCCAAGAAGCCTAGGCCGGCGTTGAACACACGGAAACAAATGGCAACCGTGTTCTAGGGTGTCCAGGGCATACTTCTCGTGGACTGGCTGGAACCTGGTTGCCCCATCAACAGCGACCGGTACTGTGAGTTTGCCAGAACGCTGCGACCGCGTATTCAACTTTGCAGTCCGGGCAAACGGGCACGGCATGTGCTGTTGCAGCACGTCACCATCCGCGATACTCACAAGACATTGGGCTTCATTGTGTTGCCACACACTCCATACTCGCCAGATCTGGAACCCTCAGTCCAAGCCTTGTTTGACAAGATGAAGAGCACAGTCAGGGACCAATATGTTGAATATTTTGCCGAATTGCATGCAGTTGTCCGTAGGCGGTGCACCAACACCCCCACAGACTGATTTACAAAAGTCCTTCGGACCTCCCAGCCAGATGGCAGAAGTGTATTGACTTGGAGGAGATTATTTCTAACTGATATACTATCAGTTTTTTGTTAATAAATTGTATTCCGCTCTCTGGTAGCATTTGTGTCATTCATTTCTGTACGACCTTAATATTAAACACACTTTAAAATAACGTTTAAAAGAAGACCCTCCAAGAGTTACGGGTTGAAACAATAAACTTCCCAAAATACAATGAATAAGTGTCATCGTGTTCTTGATAACACACTACCAGACATTAAAATTGCTGAGCCATGAAGATGACATGCAGCAAAATGTCAAATTTGCATGAATGGTGGGATATGAAAATGATTAACACTCCAGTGCATGTGCTTAAAGCAGGTATGAATAACGCCATCTACATCCTGTATAAATGGGAAGACTATACAGTGGATTTCGCTCTGCAATGAGAACACTTTCAGATCAGTACATCCCAGGGAAATTCCTGGCATTTTAGACACTTTTATCTCTTCTACAAATATTCCTTTGTCTATGGAAATGTTCATTGACCTGTCTTCCGATCACGTGGTCTCCTTCCCATTTTTGGTCCTAATGAAGCAATTAGTTCCGACACGGGAACAATTATTAAAACACTCTGCCAAAAACCGTGGGCAAATTTTCATGTATTCATTTATCTCCTCTATTAAATCAGAAATCAACAGAATAAACAGGGAGATTAAAAGTTTGATCAGCGGATATAAGCAAAGCTCCTGGGAAAAGGTCGAATAATTTAAATTCAGAAGACAGTACTTTCTGCAGCTCTATTCAAAATTTAAAAGGCAGCAAACCAAACAAGAAAACCATCTGAACTAACTCCAAATTCTTTTGAACGAACGAAGATAAAGCGAACGCTTTTGTCAACGAATTTAA